TCTTAAGTTTTATTATTCACATGATTTTTCTCATCTAAGTATAATGTTTAATGTATTGATTCATATTTGTTTCATAATATGTTTATTGCATATATATTCGTTTCACAATGTCAACTGATTTACGTGTATTTTTTGTTCACAAACACGTCAAAAAGCTTCATATTATGAACCGAGTACATGTGAAACAATCAGATTGTGAATCAAATATATGTTAATCACTACATTAAATTCTAGCTATAGATGAAAAAAAATCATACGAAATAACACATGATACACTAGTTCTCAATGTTATCACAATTTTATGAGTTCTCAACAAGTCAATAACATTCAATGGTTTAAACACGGTTATATACTGAAAGCCCAAAAGGTTGCACACTAAAAAGGTTAAAGAAAATCAAATAACCTCTTAGAAAACAGGGCATCAAGCTATGACGTGCTATGTTCATAATGTGTTGTCGGAGACGAGTCTTAAGACACCACAAACCTATTCTCGCAACATAAGCTACGATTTAATTTAATTATACAAGACGAACACTTAGCTTAAACCAGCTAAGAGAATTCAATTATAAATTTGGAGTATCTATAACAGATTCTCCAAAATGGATAACTGAAATTCAAAATCTCTAAAAAAATTTACATTCAACTTCAACAGTTTCTCCATTTAGGAGAATACAACAACATTTATTATAGAGTGAATTACACTTTTGGTCCATGTGGTTGCCACCCACTGGCAACTCTCGTCCATCTTTTAAGTTAATTACAGTTTTGGTCACTGTGATTGCCAGTTTGTTTCACTTTTGATCCATCAGACTAACTTATGTTAAACAGGTCCGTTAACTTAAGGGGGGTATTTTCATCTTTTTAGTATTTCTTTAATTTTCAATAAAAAAAATGAAGAAAATATGTAATTAGATTGTTTCTTTACTTTCATCTTCTCGCACGAACCATCCCATTCGGTCATCTTCTTTGGCGAACCTAACAAACCAAATCAAACCTAAAATTCAAAACTCAAAAAACTAAACCGAACGCTAAATCAAAATCTAAATCCAAAACTCAAATCCAATCTTGAATCACACCCAGAATCAAAAACAAAACCAAAAGATGGAGATGGCGAGCGATGGTAAGGGCTTCTGAAAACAAATCACAATGCGATGAAAATCCACCCTCATCATAACCATGGTGGTCATCCATTTCCCTTAAAACTCATATTCAATTGATAATTCGAAACCCAAATCAAAGGAATATCAAACTGGTATTTGAATCAAGTAGAACCCAAATCGAAAACTCAAAACCCAAAAAAACTACAAGCAAATTGGAAAGCCTCTAAACATAAAAACGCGTGCAGAAGGGCACTATCATGATGAAATAAAAAAAAACAAACCCAGAAAGGGGAAGGGACAAAGCACAAGGATGATCCACAATGAAATAAAAACAAACCAGCAACGTCACACTGGTTACATGTCGATAAAGATGTAGTAGGTGTTCGATAGAGATGAATCTCAAATCTACCTATGGCTCAAGTAGAGGAGATACGAGTGGGGATTCTAAGGGAAAAACAAGCTTTTTGTAATCGAAGCTTTCATAAAAACAGATAAATTGCACGGTCTTTCGTAACACTTCAGGTGATCTGATTCAGAAACTTCATTTTTTTTTCTTACAATTTGACCATTTCGTAAATTATGGACCTATTAATTACAGACTTATGATTATTTTTGTAATTTAAAAAAAAAATAACTAAAAGATAAAATCATATGATTAAGGGGGTGTTTGGGATTGCTTATAAAAACAACTTATTGATTTATTCCAGTGTTACACCGGTAATAATCATTTTTAAGTGTTTGGATAAACGACTTATACCAGTGCCAAAACGGTAATAAATAGTTTTTGAAGAAATTAAATCATTCTAATTTATAATAAGTTGATAAATGTTTTTGTATAAAAGCATAAGTTGTTTCAAATAATCAATCCCAAACACCCCTAAAATAGTTATTTTAATTAATATCACCGCGACCAAGAAAAAGGGAAAAAACAGACTGTTGAAACCCCTTCAAATTGAAAAGAAGAAAACAAACGCCACCAGAACGAGAGACGTCACAAGATTTAACTGATTAAGTAATCTTTTTAAGGCCAGGATTCAGATGGGAGATGGCATGTTTCATACTTCATAATTCCTGACAAGGGCAAATTGCATGAAAAAGTAATGTACTTTAACTTGATTCTTATTTTGGGTAATGTACTTTCAAAACTTTCATTTTGGTAACTAAGATGTAAAATTTTAAACATTTAAGTACCCGTGTAACTCGATGAAGACTAATTTTAGACTATAAAAAGACTAATTTTATATTTTAAAAAATCCACATCACTGACCACATCAGCAAATAATATTGAGTTGGATATCACATCACTCGTCACGTCAGCATGATAATTGGTTAATACTTCAACCAGTTACTCGGGACTTAACTGTTTAAAACTTTACGTTTTAAATATCAAAATAAAATTTTTAAAAATACGTTACCTAAAATAGAAATCAAGTTAAAGCAGATACAATTTGCCTTTTTCCGGATAAATACAAGAATTCTGGGAGGTGGTTGTAAACTTTACTCTTCTGGGGGAGGTGGAGTCTGACAGGTTCAGATAGAAATCTGCGGTCATTTGTCTCATTCAATTATCACTTTTTTTTTATTTTAAAAAAATTAAATTTACATTTTCTATCCCTAAAATTAATTAACGTTATATTTTTTTCTTTTAAATTTTTTATTTTATACCCTGATCAAATTAACATACAATTTCGTATATCAATTAAAATATGTTTAAAAAATATGTTTTAATTTTAACAAGTTACACCATTATAATCGTTGCGTCAATACCTTCGAAATAAGCCCAATATTGAATATTTTTTGACTTAATATTTTTAATATTTACATTTATAGTTATTTATTTAATTGTAAAAATAATTTGATTTGAAATAAAGTAAAGTTACTGATTTGAAATAAAATAAAGTTATTGATTTGAAATAAAGTAAAGTTATTGATTTGAAATAAAGTAAAGTTATTGATTTGAAATAAAGTAAAGTTATTGATTTGAAATAAAGTAAAAAAAATCGATATATATATCGAACGAACGACACCAGAATTTTTCACCAGAATTTTTCATCAGAATTCTTCTTCAATATATAACTCTCTCATTCTTCAATATACATCAAATATAAGAGAAAATTTGATAACAACACCAGAATTTTTCACCAACGAGGTACAATATTATGTTAACTGATATTTAGGTTTATTAATACTTACTTGTACAAATGAAAGTTATAATTTTTTTTTCCAGATGTTCAATTCTCGGGAAGAAATAACTGAGTGGGTGCACAATGTGGGGCGTTCAGTTGGTTGTGTTGTTGTTACGAAAAGATCAAAAGCAAAGCCAAATGAGAATGTTTATAAAGTTGTGTTTATGTGTGAACACGGCGGAACTTACAAAAATAAAATAATTCTCATTCGTCATACGAGAACAAAAAAATTTGGATGCCCATTTGAGTTGATARCGCTATTTTCGRCTAAACATAGTTGGTGGACGTTGACGGTGGTATGCGATGCACATAATCATGTTCTTGCACAACATATGGAGGGTCATGCATATGCAATGCGGCTAAATGAAACTGAAGCCCAACTAGTTGAAAATCTATCAGCCCAACATGTCAAGCCACGACACATTTTATCCACGTTAAAGGGTAGACATACGGGAAATGCATCTACGTCAAAGACAATATACAATGAACAACAAAAGATTAAGACAACAAAAGATTAAGACCACGTTAAAGGGTAGACTCGTGGTCTTCCTGCATCGTTTGTTGTCTTAATCTTTTGTTGTTCATTGTATATTGTCTTTGACGTAGATGCATTTCCCGTATGTCTACCCTTTAACGTGGATAAAATGTGTCGTGGCTTGACATGTTGGGCTGATAGATCTTCAACTAGTTGGGCTTCAGTTTCATTTAGCCGCATTGCATATGCATGACCCTCCATATGTTGTGCAATAACATGATTATGTGCATCGCATACCACCGTCAACGTCCACCAACTATGTTTAGCCGAAAATAGCGCTATCAACTCAAATGGGCATCCAAATTTTTTTGTTTCCGTATGACGAATGAGAATTATTTTATTTTTGTAAGTTCCGCCGTGTTCACACATAAACACAACTTTATAAACATTATCATTTGGCTTTGCTTTTGATCTTTTCATAACAACAACACAACCAACTGAACGCCCCACATTGTGCACCCACTCAGTTATTTCTTCCCGAGAATTGAACATCTGGAAAAAAAAATTATAACTTTCATTTGTACAAGTAAGTATTAATAAACCTAAATATCAATTAACATAATATTGTATCTCGTTGGTGAAAAATTCTGGTGTTGTTATCAAATCTTCTCCCATATTTGATGTATATTGAAGAATGTGAGAGTTATATATTGAAGAAGAATTCTGGTGAAAAATTCTGGTGTCATTCGTTCGATATATATATATCGATTTTTTTAACTTTATTTCAAATCAATAACTTTACTTTATTTCAAATCACTAACTTTACTTTATTTCAAATCAAATTATTTTTACAATTAAATAAATAACTATAAATGTAAATATTAAAAATATTAAGTCAAAAAATATTCAATATTGGGCTTATTTCGAAGGTATTGACATGACGATTATAATGATGTAACTTGTTAAAATTAAAACGTATTTTTTAAATATATTTTAATTGATATACAAAATTGTATGTTAATTTGATCAGGATATAAAATAAAAAATTAAAAAAAAAATGATATAAAATAAATTAATTAATTAATTTTAAGGGTAGAAAATATAAATTTAAATTTTTTAAAATAAAAAAAAGTGCATTATCGTACGAGTGTGTGAGTTGAAGGGTGTGAGAGAGGGGTGAGTGTGTGAGTAGAAGGGTGTGAGAGAGGGAATAATCGCAGGGATAGAAAGTGCTGCAGGGGGTGGCAATATCAACCCCCTTATTTATTCATCTTTCTACTCTCGATAGTGTTTCACAAACACAAGCTTTCATCTGGGTCCTCTTCCTAAACATCCAATTTTGAAAATTGTTGGTGTCTTTTGGGTGATCATCATAGTTTTGAGGGTTACGTAAAGTTTTGATTGATCCAAGTTATACGATAAAATACGACCCAATATCAAGAAATAGTGGCATATGGCGAGCAGGAGATCTCTGCAGCTTGTATTGAACAAAATTAAAAGCAGTGGAAGCAGGCCAAGTGTTCGATGTTTTGCGACTGCTACCGAAGGCATCGCTTCTCCTCCTGCATCTTCTAGTGACCTTATCCATTTAGAGCATGATTACAGCGCTCACAAGTAATACCTTCTCTTAATCTCTCTCCACACACATATGCCCGTATTTTGTGTGTACATGGGCTATTTTGATTGATGTTTGTTTTTATTGGTTTGTGGGTTTGTTAATTCTATGATGGTGCTGTTATTCATTCTTCCGTAGATGAATTATGCTCCCTTTGTTCCATAACTAGGAGTTATCTTTCTGAAATTTGCAGAGATTAAGGTTCTTTGGAGACAAAAACTTGAGAATATTGCTGTCATTAGTTCAATTGTAAATATGATTCATCCCGAGGTGTTGCCTAACAATGGCGCTGCTGTCTGTTGAAAGATTAAGCATTGGTTTTGAATCCTCTAGGTGTCCTCAATTTCTTTGAGGGACATGTTTGATGCCTGAAAGAGACATTAAATAGGTTCTTTTTCCTTTTGGGAGAACTTATTAATGCAAGATGGACTATGGGGCTGTTTGGTTGGTTCTCCTTTTAAGTCCTTTATCGATAAAGCTGTATGTTAATCTATATAGATTGAGAAGGTTTTGTTTGGAAGGGCTTTTCCATAGATGGAAAGAGCTTGTTTTTTAATAATTGGAGGGACAGGTTTGGAAAAAAACTTGTCTTTCTGCGTATAGCTCCCCCTAGAAGCTTACCGAATGAGCCACTTTCTATATCATTAAGCCACTACCAAACAATCATGTATAGCTGACCGAATAAGCTGTGAGTTCCATTAAGCTGATTAAGCTGCTAACAAACAGGTCCAAATTCTATAATGGAAAACTTGGAGGAATTGGTTTAATTTCTAAAACTTTAATGTATGTGATTGATTTGCCTATGTGATTGTGTAGTCGAATTCTCTCCTTGTTTTCTATAGGTCATTAAAAACAATATAATTAATTTGTGTGTTGACTGAATCATAGGCTGTGTGTGTATGAAGGAGATACCTAGTTATGAACTTATGGCGGTTGTCTACAGTGTGCTTTTTCATATCTCCATCTTTAGTTGAATATTAGTGTCTGCCTATCTGATGCTTGATTTGTTTGTGATATACAGGCTTCTGTATAGGCTATTTGAAGATATTAGGGTCAACCCACTGTTCAATTTGCTGGTGGTTTGCCAATATATTATTGTCTGAAGGTTACGTGTCTAAATGTTAATCTCATTGATGGTATAACAATTGAAAACAAACGTTAATGTAGGAGTTTTGAAGCATATGAAAAGAAATGAAAATAGTTGATTAACTATATGTACACCTATCATCATATTATTCGGTCCGGTTAGCAAATATCAGTTTATGTTCATTTTTTGGTCTGGTTATCTAAATTTATGTAGGTCCATTTGTTTCTATTTGTTGGATCTCTATATATACATGTGTTAATGACTTGAGCAATTTTCTCACTTTGGATAAAAGAATTTCGCATCTTAAAGTCTTCAAAGACTTATTTCGGATCATAAAACCTGGCCTTTATTTGTTATTATTAAAGGATGAAAGCAGTAATGCATTTATATTATCGCCGGAAATGAAGTTTGGTCTAAGCTTTTTTGAAGACTAAGCTTTTCGAATCCCTTCTATAAGCTTTTTGTTTAGATGAATTATTTTCATCTGTGTTCTTTTAGATGGATTATTTCTAGATTGATATACTTATTTGGTATTTTTCAGTTACCATCCCGTCCCTATCGTGTTTTCTCATGGAAAGGGGTCAGCTATTTGGGATCCAGAAGGCAAAAAATATCTCGACTTCCTTTCAGCTTACTCTGCAGTTAATCAGGTGAAGTGCATGCATTATTTTTACATAATATCACATATTTTACGGACGATACCTGTAACCAAACACTGATGGACTATTTGGTAACATTTTCTTTTTGCCACTTCTGTAAACAAACTACTAAAGTTGTTGGTGGAAGTATTATATTGTTTGTGGTTTTGGTTTTCTTGAATTATTGATCAATGGGGGCACATTGTTTTTTGCTACAGGGACATTGTCACCCAAAAATCATGAAAGCATTAGTTGAGCAGGCACAAACCCTCACTCTCAGTTCTAGAGCCTTCTACAACGACAAATTTCCAGTTTTTGCGGAGTATCTAACCAAATTATTTGGATATGATATGGTTCTTCCAATGAACACTGGTGCTGAAGGGGTAGAAACTGCTATAAAGTTGGCAAGGAAGTGGGGTTATGAGAAAAAAAGAATTCCCAAAGATCAGGTAGCAACTTGGTTGTCATTTTCAAGGTCTTTACTTTCCAATTCTACCGCATGGATGTAGAGACTCATTACTCCCTCCATTATAAGGGTAAAATTGTCATTTAGTTAATTAAAAAGTGTAACAATTATACATTTCTAGAACTCTGTATTTTTCATTGTGGGAGTACTTCATTTTTCTGTTGTCCCAATCTCTATCATTTATGTGCAGGCTATCATTGTCTCTTGTTGTGGCTGCTTCCATGGTCGTACAATGGCTGCTATATCTATGAGTTGTGATAACGATGCCACTCGTGGATTTTGGCCATTGTTACCTGGCCAGCTTAAAGTCGATTTTGGAGATGAAGCTGCTCTTAAGAAACTTTTTGAAGGTTTATGAATGCTGTTTCCTCTCCAAATAACGTCCCTTGGTTTTATATCTTGTTAGCAGGAAGCTCACTTTTATGATTCTTTATGTTCAAAATGGCAAACATATATATATATATATATATATATATATATATAGAGAGAGAGAGAGAGAGAGAGAGAGAGAGGGGGGGGGGGAGGGAGGTTCAGAGGAAAACCCCCAAAAAAATGAAAAACTGAGGAACACCTTGGTAACCATTCATCTGACATGGTATGCACATATGCATACAAGTAATTGAAGTTGTTTCTTGGTTTTTATGCACATGTGCATACCCGACAAATTGCTTACGAATACTTGTATGCACATGTGCATACCGTCCAGATGAATTGTTACCAGGGTGTTCCTTACTTTTTCATTTTTTGTGGTTTTCCCCTGAACATGACCCTATGTGTGTGTGTGTGTGTGAACCCAACAGCATCATGTTTTTTTGAACCCAGAAACATATTTTTAAGCTTTTTTCTAAGCATGTGTGATAACCCTTCAATTTTTCTCCCTGATGTTATGCAGAAAAAGGAGAACATATAGCTGGTTTTCTATTTGAGCCCATACAAGGAGAGGCAGGGGTATGTAGCTGATACGGGCATAAAGATGTTTTAGTATTTTTTTTGGTTCGAAACATTTACTCTTCTTACATGTTAACTGCTAACTATAAGAGATCCTACAATCTAAACATCTGTTTTGCCTTCTATTTTCTTTTTCGGTATCTTTTCTGTTTTCCATGTTCCAAATTGCATCTTTACTGATTTTTCATTGATGGAAATATATTTCATTCTGTCTTGCCAGGTTATAATTCCTCCAGATGGTTATCTTAAGTCTGTCAGAGAACTTTGTTCAAAGTATAACATCTTAATGATTGCGGATGAAATACAAAGTGGCTTAGCAAGATCGGGAAGAATGCTGGCTTGTGATTGGGAAGGTGTACGGCCTGACATTATTGTAAGTTTTTCTTTATTCTCTCATACAAAATTATTTACTATGCTTTATATGAAAGATAAACGATATCAAACATGTTGCCCTGGATTTCGGGGTAATGGCATAGCTTATGAGGCTCGTCAGTTTTCTTCTTCATGCTTGTCCCAACATACACATGTACATGCAATCTTCATACATATACGTATAGGGTCAGTTTCAGGGGAAAGCCGCAAAAAAAAAAAAAAATTGAGGAACACCCTAGTAAACATTCATCATACAGATGCACATGTGTATACAAGTAATTTGTAAATAATATTTCCAATATGCACATGTGCATAGAAACCAGAAAACATCTCCAATTACTTGTATGCACATGTGCATACCATATAGATGAATGGTAATTAGGGTGTTTCTCAAATTTTCATTTTTTGGGGGTTTTTCCTTGAAACTCGCTCTATACGTGTATATGCACACATAAATGGTCCAACAATTGGGATAAAAGTTTGATACATATTAGGTGATAAGCCAATAGGCTAAACATAAGTTGATAAATATGTAGATATAACGAGATAAATATGAAGAAACATAGATAAACACAAAATATCTAGCACTCTCCAAGTTGGATCATGGATATCGATCATATCCAACTTTGTTTGTGTCCTTTGTGGATCTTTGGAATGTTTGTCAACAGATCTCTTGTACATGCTAGATTGAAGGCGGATTGGACATTATCCCAACAATGTGATTCCGTAGAGATGAAAATCTACCTCTATGTGTTTCTTCTCTCATGAAAGACTTTATTATTAGCTATGTATTACAAATGTGGCTTATATAAATCTGTTTTATTTGTGTTTTTTCAATGTAATCTTCCAAGGATCATTCTCGTATTGTCTTTATAATCACCATTCTTATGGGGTTATTTCAGATACTGGGGAAAGCATTGGGCGGTGGAGTCTATGTATTACAAATGTGGCTTATATAAATCTGTTTTATTTGTGTTTTTTCAATGTAATCTTCCAAGGATCATTCTCGTATTGTCTTTATAATCACCATTCTTATGGGGTTATTTCAGATACTGGGGAAAGCATTGGGCGGTGGAGTCATACCAGTAAGTGCGGTTCTTGCAGACAAAGATGTTATGCTTTGCATACGTCCAGGGGAGCATGGGAGGTATGGAGTTATCATCGACTAAGATCATCCTATATGCTTTCCTGTTTTGGTATTTGTTCTTAGCATGAAATAATAAGTATGCCGATGAAATTGATTAGATATAAGTAATTAAGATTTATGATATCATTGATGGCAAAAGCAAACTTTTTCTGTAATGTTTTGATGAATTCAATACATGCATTTTGAGCTTGCCTAGAATATCTAGTTGCTGTTTTATTTGAAGTAGGATTCTTTGTTTTGGACACAGAAAACTGTAAGATAGACGTATTTTGCAGATGAAGGGAGTATAATTTTAGATTGAGGTCACATAGTCTTGTCTAACATCCGAGACCATGCTTATGTTGCTGAATTCAAAATAAAGTTCCATTTTTTCTTGTTGCATGTATTCATACTTGCCATTTTTCTTCCATAATAGCTAACATGCTTAAATTTGATTTGATCTTTAGCACATTTGGAGGAAGCCCGCTCGGTAGTGCTGTTGCTATTGCATCGTTGCAGGTGATACAAGAGGAGAAACTTGCCGAAAGGTAAGAATTCTATCGTCTTTACTCTTTATACATTTGATATAGCTTATTTATACAAAACATCAGAACTTAAAAAAATCTGGTATGGTCAGTGGTGTATAGGCTACATGATTGTTAGATGCATCAACCAAACTAAACCTACTATGGAGAACTAGTTGTTAGTTGATAAGCTAGCAATAAACTAGTGATGTTTAGTAGCTGACAATATAAAATGATCTGAAATGACATGTTGAAAAATTAATTGGAAATATATGAGGGAAATAATTGGAAACAGTGGAAAAAAGCCTCTGGAGTTTGTTGAAACACTACTTCAAGTAGCTTTTCAGAAAGCTAGCTTACGGCTAGCCAGATGGGGTTTCCTCAATAACCTCAAAATATAAGCTTGGTTATGGTTGCCAAAGATGTCTTCAGTATATCTCACTTGGAAGTAAGGTCTGAGGGGTAGGATGTGCTAAATATATTGTTTTCTTGATTCTTCATAACCCCGCTGGTGTGTATCTATGATTGCATCTACGTGACTACATCTGACAAAAGCGTTGTCTGTTTTAGATCCGATGAAATGGGAGAGGAGCTGAGGCGATTGTTAAGGAGGACTCAACAGCAATTTCCCGACATTGTGATGGAAGTCCGAGGAAAAGGATTATTCAACGCAGTGGAGCTTATTAGCAAGGCTTTATTCCCTGCAACCGCATACGATCTGTGTATCAAGTTGAAGGAAAGAGGAATTCTCGCGAAACCTACTCATAGCGCTACTATCCGATTAACTCCTCCCCTTTCCATGAGGTATGATGGCTTCTATTTAGGTGTACGTTGTATGAATATAAATATCCACCAATCAACACCTGACACATCCTCAATTTACATGTGATTCATAAGTTTGATTTTGGTTCAGTTTGGAGGAGCTTCGTGAAGGTGCGAAAGCGTTTCATGATGTTTTGGAACACGACCTCCCGAAACTGGTGAAGGAGAAGCCAAAGACGGGTGAACCGAAGGAGCAAAACCAGTGTGATCGTTGCGGGCGAAACTTGTATGGCTAAGAAGCTTTGCTTCAGCTGAATAAGCCATTCCCAGTTGGTCCTTAATTGCATCCTTACAAAAGAGAAGGCATATTATAGTTTGAATAAGTTGGATTTGTTTAAGATCATTTGATTTGATAATCACTGGTTAAGCCAACTTTATGTGTGGAAAGGAAAGAATACAAAAAGGAAGAGGGTACAAGAATCCAAATTAAGGGATCAATAGTTATATTATATTATCCAAGGAGACAACAATGAGACACTATCATTTCTTTATAACCTTCATGCCTTTATATTATATATATATATATATATATATAGATATAATTTATGTATGTATATATATATACACACATATAGAGAGGAGGAGGGAGGGTTGGTTTAAGCAGAAGTCACTCTTTTTGTGAGTATTTATTATGAATAATATGGTTAAATGTTCATAAATGTGAGTATTCATTATGAATAATATGGTTAAGTATTCATAAATGTGAGTATTCATTATGAATAATATGGTTGAATATTCATAATTACATGAAAATAAATGGGTTTTATCTCTT